AACACATTGGGGCAAATCCTCCCAAAATTATCTCTGCCTTTTAAATCCTATTCTGAATTAGGGGAAGGGGTTCGAGGCTCCAAATACCCGTACAGTAAGAGCAAGAGCAAGAGCAAGAGCAGGAGCAGGAGCAAGAGCAAAAGCGGGAGCATCAGCAAGAGGAAAGCAAAAGCAAGAGCGGGAGTAAGAGCAAGAGCAGGAGCAACAGCTGGAGCAACAGCAAGCCAGTGCGGAAGCAAGAGCCAGAGCAGGAGCAAGAGCACGTCCCCCCCCAAAAGTGGCAGTAGAGATACAATTGCCCCTAATTGTTTCAACACTTTCCAAGTATCTGCGGGCCCCCCCGTTTAATGTTAGGGGGTCAAGATTAGATAGATACAGGAGCTTTGGTTAGGGCTTAATTCGAGTGTGAAATTTGGAAGGTTCTATCCATGCTCCAAACCGGAATTGAAGGGTTTGTGGTTTGCGATGTACGGTTTCTTAGGGCCAGCCCAGAACGGGCTAAACCTTTGAAAATTAAAATAGGATTATGTACTTACTTCCCAATAAGCCCGGGAAATAAAAGGCTAAACTTTCAGATTACTACGAAATTAGAAGAGCCCAAAATTAAAGGTTGGGTATTGGAGAACTAAACATAAGCCCCAAACAGGTTAAAGGTTACCCTTTCAGCCCTAAGATTTAGAGGGCTCGGCTCCTCCCAGAAGCCCTGTCAAGTGTATAATATAGGGCCATAGGGTTTTGGGGCCCATTATACGATAATTATGATAAGGAACCCCCAAAATAATAGTTAGCCAGCCGACGCGAATCAGAGGTCTGTATTCAGACATCCTTGAAATGCACCCTGCAGTCAGAGCCACCGTGGCTACGGCCAAAAGCCGATGGATGGTGAACTTGTTCACCACCACGATGGAATCCATCTTTACCTGAGGGAGTCCAAGGTGTAGGCTTTAGGGTTTAGGGTTTAGGGTTTAGGGTTTAGGGTTTAGGGTTTAGGGTTTAAGGTTTAGGGTTTAGGGTTTAGGGTTTAGGCTTTAGCTTATGCCCCCCCCCCCAAACCTTACCTATTTAGGGTTCCTGAATCTGCTTTCCTTGCATGATGAGTTGGGCTTATGTTTGGGGTTTCCGGTTCGGTTCAGGGGAGAGTTCACCCCACCTACAGTCTCACCCATGACGCCAACGCGGCTTCCTTAGGCCAGCAAGCGTGGAGGATTTAAAATCCGGGTTTCAATGGTCTGCGGTTTGCTTAATTGTTTTCCGGTTGCAGTGTCTAGAGTTCAGAAGTGAGGGTCTAGGGTGTAAGGCTACCAAGGTTGGACGTAGTCGAAGCTAAAAACACAAGTGAGAGGATACGTCCGAGGGACTTACATAGGAAGTAGGGTTATAAGTACCCTAAAGGGATTTTAACTGGAGCTATGATAAATAAAAGTAACCAGCTACTACCTCCCACCTATCTCCGGCCTACTCCGACCCCAAATCCTCGCCGTCATCTTATGATACCGGTACCAGAGAGCGATGAGGACCCTTGATCCCTGAAACCTAATTTCCCAAACCTCAAAGCATCTGATGTCTCTAGACCACTGTCCAGAACATGAAGCCTCTGAACAAATTTCATCACTAAGATCCTCTTGAGACTCTTGAGCCTATCAAGAGAAAATATTATATAAACCTCCCCAAAAGCCTAAAACTTAACCCATAACCCTACCTGGAATAAGACTCAGGGATCGGAGGACACTGCGCTGGGTGACACCACTAATTAAGGGTTTATGGGGTTTAGGGTTTATGGGGTTTAGGGTTTAGGGTTTAGGGAGTTTAGGGGGTTTAGGGGGTTTAGGGGGTGTAGGGGGTTTAGGGTTTAGGGTTCACTCCCTTGCCGCTTCCATCTTGGCTGCCACCACAGCCTGGTCCTGCTCTGTCTCGAAGCTAGAAAGCAAATCAGCTGTTTATTCCAAGCCAGTTCGGACTCTGCCACGGCTGCCTGCAGCTCTGCATCACAAATCTTCTTCTGAGCCTCGAGCTCTCCATAAAAAATCTTCTGTTGGCCTTGCTTCATGGACTCCATTTTGTAGCTGAATTCACGGCGCAACTGTGTGAAATTGCAAAGCAACTTACTCAATCCAGTCATCCTCTAAGCAGAAAAAACCACACCTCCTCCAACACTCCTTTCGACAACTGCGTGTCGGTAAACCACGGGTAGCAAAACCCGGAAGCCACAACCTCACATCAACTTTGGTCTTAACCGTAACACCATAGGCCTCGACATGCCCTCACTCGGTTAATGCCCCCCAAAGAAACCTAGCCAAAGCAAAACCACAGCAGTTAACCTGGGGCCGTGGCTGCTCTATCGATGTAGACGAGAGCCAGCAGCAAACATGATTCATCTTGGATGTGCAGTACATGCCAGGCTTTCAGATGATTCATGTCGTTTTGGCGGAAAAGTTATGCATTTTGATGGGTCATGTGTATAAACTGGAAGAAAATTTTAGGCATGTAGTTGGCTGCTCCAATCAAGCATAAAAAACAAGTAAATTTACAGGGAAGTGACTGTAAATAACGAGTACGTGTAGACAAACAAGCAAACAACTACTAATGGACACATGACTGAAGGAACCAAGGAAGGGAGACACGAAGGAATGAACACATCAATGTACTGGTAGGGTATGAACTCTAGGCCTCTAGGCATAGAGGGCTTACGAGACCTACTGTTGATAGTATAAATCCTGCATTACCTTAAGGACCCTAGACTATGAGAATTATGGTAGATTCGTTATTATGGATAATACAGGATTTATCTCATCAACCGTAGGGCATCTGTAAACGTGTTTTGGGCTTAGAGCGTGCGCCTGGTGCAGTCTGCTCCCTATCTGGCTCCCTGCTGAGGCTATACTATACTATACTATGACCCCCAAAAGGTACACTCCCCGGGGCCCACCGGAAGCCCTAAACCCTAAACTCTAAACCCTAAACCCTAAACTCTAAACCCAAAACCCTAAACTCTAAACCCTATAAACCCTAAACTTTAAACCTTAAATGAGGACCCTACACTCGAAGACCCGAAACCTGAGGGTCCATGTACACAAATAGCGTGTGCATGTGTATGCTGTGGGCCCAAAGTACCTATATGGGGACTACAGTAAGGCCGAAAAGCAGAAGACGTGGACCCTTTTTGGGCTTGCCCCCCTCCTGAAGAACGGAATGAACCCTAAAAGGGCTTAGGGTTCATCTGCCATATAGGGATTCATAGTATAAGGCTATAGGGGCCCTACTTTGAAGGGTCATTTCGTCCTTAAACGCTCTTGACATCCCTGAACCCCAGCCAATGCAACCCGGCAGCGGCACTGGAAGTACTTGGCCAGTCGAGTGAGATATTGCTCGACACCAATGCCTGGTGCGACCTTCGTCAGAGCACAGGGGGAACAACAACGTCCTCTTCCATAAACAGAAGGGTAGCAGGAAAGAGACCCATTAAACCCCTAAACCCCGAACGCTGCCCTAGCCCCGAGCCCTCAACCCCAAACCCAAGAACTCACAAACCCTACACAACAGTCAACCCGAAGAGCTTAAGAACCCAATCTAGCTGTAAATTGACGCAAAACCCTCTTTTAATTCATAAGGCCCCCATACTATGCCTATATCAAACCTCGCATAAAGTCCCGAATAGTCAGCCCCTCACACCATGAACACATGAGTGAGACGAACAGTACCACACCACGGCGACTCCAAGCCCAAAATCCTTGAACTGTCTCAAACCCCGACAGCCTTACGGCCCTACAACCCCTCTCCCCTACCCTAAGCCCTAAACCCTAAACCCTAAACCCTAAACCCTAAACCCTAAACCCTGAAACCCCTAAACCATAGGAGCCCAACCCATCCCCTCAACACCTGACACTCTAAATACCATGACTGCCGCTAAGGCAGCTACCTCCATAAGGCTCAGAGTGGCTTATATAGACACAAGACATCCTGAATCCGACCCCTAAGCCCAAACCTTACTGGAACCCAGACCATCCCACACCCCAAACCCTAAACTCCTAACCTCTATAAACCCTGAACCCCTAAAATCCTAAACCCTAAACCCTAAACCCCTAGACACCTAAACCCTAGACACCGTAACCCTAAACCACACCCCCTGCCTTGGAGTGGAACCGGGAAACCTTGTCCTGTCGGCACAGCGGCTGCGGGGAATGGGAACCCGAATAAAGAAACCCGGCTCTTCATCTGGGATCCTAGGGCTTAAGGCTTAAGGGTTTATACGGGGTTATAGGGCCAGGGTTTCTTGATCTTAGGAGCTGAGTACCCCAGCCAAAAAAAAGGCTAACCTTTGAAATATAACAGGAATTAAATTGGATAAGCACCAGAAGGTTAAAGGTTACCTACTCAGCCCCTAAGCGCTTCCGAAGTCCCATTATCCTAGACACTTTCAGTAGTCCCTAGAGGCCCTAAACACTGAGCCCGGACGGCCTCAACACGCTCCTTCCTAAGCCCTAAACCCTAAACCCTTTACCCTAAGCGCAAGGTGTTTCGGGTCCCAGAGGTAATATAGGGGCCGTAGCAAGTAGAATAGGGTTTTGGGGTATAGTACACTATACTTATTGTAAGGAACCCCCCAAAATCGTGTAGGCAATTATGAATTATGGCCCCTATATTAGGGGCTTTGAGGTTTCCGGGCTTCGGGCTGCTTCTTCTGAGGTTTAGGGCATTCAGGTTTTGAGGGTTTAGGGTTTCGGGCTTTAGGGTTTTAAGGGCGTAGGCTTGAGGGCTTTGGGCTTTTAGGGTTTTAGGGTTTTAGGGTTTAGGGTTTAGGGCTTTAGGCTTTGCAGGATTTTCGGGGGCCTAAGCTTCTTCGACATAGGGGCGTGTAGCTTTTGTATACGGTTCTTGCACTTATAAGGCGTCTTGCATAAGGCTTTATGGGGTTCTAGTACAAGGGCCTTACGAGTTTGAGCAGGGTTCGTGGAGACCCATTTTGTGGTCCCTAAAAGAGTACGGCAGCCTTATAAAAGGACCCTAAACAGGGACCCTAATTTAGGGAACTACCACTGCAAGCTTGAGGGTCGCAGAATCCCTCTAAGTAAACTCCAGAAGCCCATGAGCGACAGATCCTTCAAAAGGGGGCTCTTGATTTCCAAGCTTTGGGGGATCATATGAACTATACAAGCCTATGCTTGAGAATGGATTTGGTTTGGGGGTGTCCGTTCCCAATGCACTATACCCGAAAACCCCCCCAGCCACAAATCCCTCGACCCAAAAGCCCGAATTGTGCCATAGATGCCAAATCTCTAAACGATTCTAAACTCTAAACCCCAAAAAACAAAGTCATGAACCGCTTCTTGGGACTAAGAAGTAAGGCCAGGGACTGAGCTTGGTTCGGGTTTGAGATTTCAGCTTGAAGGGGTGGGCTGGGGGCTTAGGGGTTTAAGGGTTTAGGGTCTAGGCAGTCGAGGGGTTCAGGGTTTGGGGCAGGGTTCTACAAGGGTTTCTATAAGGGCTTGGGTTCTATGGTAAAAGGCCGGCTAGGGCTGATGTCGGGTATATTTCAGTGCCGTGCACCCTAAACTGCAACACAGCGCATGGGCGCCATACCTCAGAGCTTCGAGCCCTCAACACTCATGTCTAGTTCCCTGTTGGGGCTAGATTAAAACTGATCAGGTTAATCCTTATTGGGTTTGTTTTTAACAGAAATGTAAACTTGTATTCAACAAGGACCTAGATGTGGCTCCCTGATTGACGAACTCCCTTCCCTGACTATGGAAAGCAAACAGGATCCTCATACCTTGAGAAAAGCTTTGTGGAAATCAGCTCAAGTAAAGTACCTAAACAACAGAACCTTTGCCCCCCTTCCTCCAAGAAAGCATATTCCCCCGATTTGGGGGTGAAGACAAGACTTGTTGAATGGGTCCCATGTTTCGTATCCTCCCAGTGGTCTGGGTTTGGACTAACCCTAACAAGCCCAAGCCCCTAAACCTTAAACCCCTAACCTTAAACTCTAGACCCCTGAGCCCAAACTCTACACCCCTACACCCGATGCACTTTACTCTAGACCCTAGAACCCGAAGGCATCAACCCTGAAGCCAAGCACAGGCTCTTGTTAAGGAATTTAGTTTGACTTACCATACTCGGGAGCTACAGTAAATAAGATGGTCTCCTTATTATAGCAACTTAAAGTAAACCCCTTAACAAGAACCCAGAATCAGGGGCCTGCTTCCCAGTCTCAACCTCAATCAATGACGAGTAAACGGAGGCCAAAGCTGCGCACAGCTTGCCAACATCCATTCCTCGGATGCGGAAAATCACTTCAAGGGGTGCTGCAAGGTGTTTCAGGGTAGTGTAGGATTCTATAGGGACCCTAAACCCTAAACTCTTTGCAAAGGCAAAAGAACATTTCTGAAGCGGTCCACGTACTCCTTGTCCTAGGAGTTGGCGTCGGCTTTAAACGCAGCAACAGCCGTAAATAAAGACTACCTGGACCTTTCACCCTTCGGAAAGTCTTGAAGTCTGGACACCTAGGCATACCCTGAACCCTAAGTCCGAAGGCTACAGATCAGTTTAAAATCAGCTATAATGATCCACTATCTATAATCTACAACACCAGGTAACACCAAATTACCAAGTCCCTGATGCTTCAGGAGGGCACCTTTAGCAAGGGAGGGTCATTTCCCAGTT